CTTATTTAATTTTATTTTCTCATTTTGTTGCCTTCGGTCGGATCGTAGTGTCGAAACTCGACCCTACAGATCAGATCGCCTTGCTTTCGCTATGCGACGCCAGCATTAACCCTCCTGGACCAATCTTATTCGAAACAGTCTTGGTATCATGATATTACTCCTCAGCGGCCCCATCGTTTGGTAATAGTATTCCAGTTTTGCCAACAATCCGGTGACCAACAACGTTGTGATTTCGGGCTTACGGTGCAGTTGGGCTCTTCGGTCAACATGCCCGGCATTGCTGGCACGTCTCCCGCCTCACTAGAGCACTTGGGCCGGCCGCTATTCAGGGCCCACAAGTCACTTCCCCGAAGGCCAAATGGCGATCCAAGTGTACATGTCATCCACGCGTCTCCATCTGACCCCATCGTTGACACTTCAAATGGCGGTGCTCACGCATCGGTGCCCGCTCTTCCTTTAACACCCCCTGGTGTTCCTCCAGATGAATCTCCAACTCCAAAACCGCTGGAAATGCAAAAGCTCGCCTCGCCGCACTCCATGTCTGGAACGGTGACACCTTCAAGACCATCGCACCCCCCAACCCCAGAAACGACGCCGCCTCGACTTCCTGCCACGACCTATCGACCTGGAATTGGCGGTCAATTCCGCCAGGCCTCTTGTTCGTCTCGTGCCGAGTCTTTCCAAACAGCATGCGAAATGATCTCCGACGGTGAGACCGAGACCCCTCACCGATCGTCCCCATCGTCGCGTCAGTCGACCAGGCAGAGGTCACTACAAAAGAGTGTTCAATCAGAACCCAAAGATGCCAGGCTAGAAGACACCACATCTATCGTTGACCACTCCGATGCCATGTTATTAAAGCCATCCCGGTACGAAGGTATCAACGGAGAATGGGCAACGGAGAACACCGACAGATTTGCTGCGTCACGTCAGAGGCGTAGGCGCTCAAGGAACCATTCCTCCGATTCTCCCCCCACCGCAAACGTACCGGAACAGCCTCAGGATACGTATAGCACAAGTGCACACGACTTGGATGTCCCACGAACGCGCGAGAGAAATGTACGCGTTCGAGTTCGAGATGCTCAGGACACCGGAGTCAGTCCATATCCAGAACAGTATTCTGAAAAGATCGACTGGAGCTCTCCGGAGGGCCGGACGGATTCCTACAACCACGATGATACTCGCCGATTTTCGGGCGTGTCCACATCATCTACAATAGAAGTAATGATTGTTGACACACCTGAGCCGTATAAACCCTCCCTTCGCCATACAGAGAAGAGGGTTTCGCTGCGTTCGACCAGCTCTCCCATCACGAGGTCAGAGCGTGGATCCCTGGTCTCGAATCCAGATTCGCAGCACCGCTTGGTTCACAAAGCTGCCCGTATTTCTGAAAATGATCGCAGAAGTATCGCGTCGGAGATGTCCACCTCTGAGGGCTCAACCCAGGGTGGCCCTCGGCAGCATGTGGAGGTTGTTCCGGTCGTGGTGATCCCGGAGCGGCATTCATCTTTGAAATCCTCGGCCTCGACCAGCAGAAAGCCGTCGAATGCCAGCTCTCAGCCATCGAGCCGCCGAACACGGACGAGATCGGGGAGCAGACCGGAGTCAGTTGATCGCCCGCCCCAAAAGAGACGTACTCTGTCGAATTCCAGTGCGCCCACCCATCAGGACACAGACTGCAGGGGTCGCAGTCTTGGTCGGCCCATTATCCCTCCACGCAGCTCGTCGTTATCTGCGCCGACCAGCCAGAATAACTCACGAGCCACGTCCCTTACATCAGTGAGCTCGCGGAATCAGCCGACGGCGGTGGAGACCGAAAAGCAAAACCAGCAGCCTGAGCCCAAGAAGGCACCCCTAGTACGTGACCGGGCCGATGTATTGAAGACACAGTCCATTCTTATCGGGGTAGAGGACATGGCCCATTTACGCTCGCCGTCAGGGGCTTTCACGCTAGGGTCAATCCCGTCGTCATCGCCAGGACTAGTTGAGATTAGTGAAGCTACTCTAGTGCCATTTTTCCCACACAACAATGAATCTCTCCTACTGGTCGACCCACAGCACCAGCCTGGCTCTCAAGGGCTAGCAATTCGAGTGGAATACCAAGGCAGTCCGGCAAAGCCGGAATTCCCTCAAAGCCCAGGACTGGGGGAGATACACTCCCCGCTGCAGAACCCGCGCCAGCCACCGAATCCTCCAGTGTGTAAGGTCAGTCCTCCCACCCCGGTGAATGAGGCAGATCGCGAGCCCGAAAGGGGCACAGGAAATGGGGAGACGGGTGAGCAGCCCCCTCGCCGATTCGGGTCGATTCGACGCCCTTGGAAGCTCCGACCTCGTTCTGATTCCTTTAATTCCATTGCCCGATCATTCTCAGTGACATCGGCGAAAAATCGCATGGCAGGGAAAGATATTGACGGCAAACTCCACCCGTTCTGGAGGCCTCGTCGATTTTGGGAAGATACATCGGAATCCGAAGACCAATCCCCTCGAGAACAAAACTTTCGTCCTTCCACGTTAGAGGCGGACCAAGTCATTAGCAACTCCTTGGGGATGCCACAACAGCGGGTTGTGTTTCAAGGGCCTCCCATTTCTCCTCGCAGCATTGACACAAAACGGTCTTTCGATGAGGCGGCTTCCCGTCGCCAGGCCCGGGACAGTCTCGTGGGCAGTCGAGTATTCATGCCTGAGGCGTTGTATTCGCAAACTTCTCTTCACCAGCGACGGTATCGCTCCCTCTCATGGTGGCGATTGCGGCTTCGGTTTGGTTCTGTGCGCAGCTTCCGTAAGCGTTTGAGACGCAGTTGGCAGCACCGTGCCGAGGGCAAGCGAGAGGCCCGACGCGAGGCACTGAAGCAGAGCATTGGTGAAGCTGTCCTCGTGGACTCCAGCACGCAGACGCGGAGTATGGTGCAGTAACTTTTACGGCATGATCGATGATACTCGAGGATGACCAGCATGACACGACCGATATGACGAATGACAATCATGCATAAACGATCCATGTTTCTTCTCTTGTTCTTTATATGCTCTTTTTCTTTAATGTGTTTATCTTTCTGTTGCAACTATATTGATGCTTGATGAGTCACGAATGATGGACCCACGGAACACGAGATCCAGCACGATGATTGTTCGGGCGCTGTGGCATTTCGCATTATGTGTGTTCTCTGTATCATACGCCTACTTTGATGAGATTATAAACTTGCCCCCATCACGAGAAATACAAAGATAACAAATGCACAATCGTAACATATATATTGACCTTTGTCCCTGAATCTTATAGATCTATGTAGCTAAAGAAACATGAACGGACAAGTAAGTAGATGTCAAGTGTGAAGAAAGAAACGGACTGAATCACTTCCATCTCCCCATCCTGCCCCTAACAGCCAACCCTCCGTACTCCGCCTCCCTCTCCTTCTTCCTCCTCAATTCCTCCTCCTTTTCTTTAACGTAAACATTTCCCTCTCCGAGTCCTTCACCTTCCCTCCGCAGCCGATCCACCGCCTTCACATTCTCCCACAAGGCCGGATCCAAGAACGGCTGCGGACCGGACGAGAAATCATACTCGACAGTCGTGGACCGGGACTTTAACTCCACATGGTGATTCCTTGAGGTAGATTTAGCTTTGGATTTGGATTTGGATTCGGACACTGCCGATGTAGACGTAGAAGTTGATGTTGAACGAATATGGATCGGCGGGTATGTAGCGGTCGTGTTAGAGAGGGTGGGGTTCTTGGGGGCGGCAAGAGGCCGTTTGGAGGGGATTAGAAGTGTGGGAGACGGCCGTGATGTTTGGAATGCCATTCTATATACACGTATATGTGATACTAGTGGGTATATGCTATTGTACAAGTTGGTGTTCTCAACACGGTGATAAAACAGGGAGTAAGTAAAAGTAATTAATACATACTACTCCCAAGAGTCAAACTAGGCAGGTAAGCGCTATACCCAAACAGGAACTAGCGGGAGGTCAGCCCTGGGGCTCGTATGACAACTTTGAAAATTGAAACTGCAACCCATGCCATCTCTCATCAACTGTAACCACTCTTGGGTGTTTTTCAAGATCAGATTCTTCATGTCGAGATGGGTTCCAAAACATATGAAGGCGAGGGCCAGAGACGCGGTAGTATGAATCCAACCCAATTCCATGATTTAGTAAGAGTTGTGCTGATTCATTCCTTGCAGATGACCCGTCCAACTCAACCAGTCCCAATTCTGCTGGCGGAGAGCCGCGAGGCGCTCATCTGTCCCGGGATGGCGACGGCAGTTTGGGGGATGGCGATGGGGGTGACGGTGCCGATGGAGACGATAAGGATGGCGCCGTTGCCGCCACCTCATTAACCCAACAACAGCCTTCGTCGGAAACGACCAATAAGAAGAAGAAACGAAGAAAGCCCAAGAAGAAAACCTCGGCCTCAAAGCAGTCCTCGCCGCCACGGGTCCCACTGGATGACCTTTTTCCTACGGGCCAGTTCCCAGTCGGTGAGATCCACGAGTATGGACCCGTCGTCGAGGGTACAGCTCGCACGACGGCCGAGGAAGTCCGATACCTGTCTCGGAATCATCTTCAGGATGACAGTGTCCTTAACGATTATCGCAAGGCAGCAGAGATACATCGTCAGGTCCGACACTGGACTCAGGAGAACGTTCGACCTGGCCAAACTCTCACGGAGATTGCCGTGGGCATTGAGGATGGCGTGAGAGCGCTGCTGGACAATGCTGGCCTCGAGACTGGTCAGTGTCTCCAGTCGGGAATGGGATTTCCCACTGGACTCGCTTTGAATGATTGCGTTGCGCATTACACACCTAATCCGGGCCAAAAAGATATCGTCTTGCAAGCAAGCGATGTGATGAAGGTGGACTTTGGTGTCCATATAAATGGTTGGATTGTTGACAGTGCGTTTACAATGTCGTTTGACCCAACCTACGACAATTTACTTGCCGCCGTGAAGGATGCTACGAACACCGGTATCAAGGTAGGAAAGAGTCCTGGTGTCTCGGAGGTTAGGGCGCAGCTAACGCTTTTCAGAATGCTGGAGTCGATGTTCGTATCAGCGATGTCAGTGCTGCCATCCAGGAGGCGATGGAAAGCTATGAGGTTGAAATCGGCGGCAAAGTGTTCCCTGTGAAGCCGGTACGCGATATTAGTGGGCATAATATCAATCGTTATCAGATTCACGGTGGGAAGTCGATTCCATTTGTGAAAAATTCCAGCCAAACAAAGATGGAAGAGGGGGAGATCTTTGCCATCGAGACATTTGGCTCGACGGGCCGTGGCTCTACAGTGGAAGGCGTACGTTTCCCCTTGCTTGCTTGAGATGAGTTCAAGTGCTCACAGACAGGCTAGTTTGGCGTCTATGGGTATGGAAAAGACCCGAACGCACCGAAGAGGGTGGTGTCCCCTCTCGCCTCGGCCAGATCTCTCTACAAGACGATCAACGAAAATTTCGGCTCGATTGTCTTCTGTCGCCGCTACCTCGAACGGCTTGGAGTTGAGCGCTATTTAGCTGGTGTAAGTACTTATCATCCTGTCTACTGGAAAGTGTGCTCATTCTGGAACAGATGAACAGTCTTGTAAACAATGGGATTGTGGAGCAATATGCGCCTCTAATGGATGTGAAGGGATCATACTCGGCACAGTTTGAACATGTGAGTATGCTCTTATACTGCGACGAAGAACCAGGGCTAACCCTGTTTTGCAGACTATATTGTTGCGAGAGTCGTGCAAGGAGGTGATCAGCCGTGGAAGTGACTATTGACTTCTTTTGCGTGCAGCATCAGTGGTATAGGGCACTGCTCCCTTTGAATCATTATGCTTGACGCCATCCAACATGGCTCATGCTTGACACTCGTTCACAATCTAGTTTTCCGGCCATCCAACATGGCACGTTATGCTGATTAGATAGCTTAAGTAGGACATCTATTACTCACAATGCTCAAGATGACTTACGTTCTGCTCTTTTGTTAATAATTTGACTTGAGAATCCGACATCAGTAGATATAGTAACTATTACAGAGAATCAATTTACCCTGCGAAACCAGATCAACTCCCCATCCATCGTCGGCTCCAGATCGACACCAACTTCTCTCACTCCCTCCGGACCAAGTCTGAACTCAGCACGAACAACCTCATGATCGCGAGGATCTGTATACTTCTCCTGCAACCTCGCCAACCAAAACTCCCCACTAACATGCTCCAACGCAATCATCATACTAAACTCCTGACTCCGCCGATCAGCAACCAGCTCCTTCCCCTCCACATCAGGCCCCAAATCCATAGCTCCATATCCGGGATGCCAATAAACCCCAGCATACTCCCCAATCTCCAACGCCGGCCTCAAAACCGGACAAGGCAAAACCGGATACAGGCGATTCCTCACACACGCCAACTCCTCCCTCCGCCTCTCCTGCTTCTCCCTAATAACCGCTCCCCAATCCACCCGCTCCCCAACCGGCGTCCCCAATAACCCATCCAACAAAGCCATATACAAAACCTGCTGCATCTGATTACTCGTCACCGTCGAATTCCCCATGACAACCAGTCCCCAGTCCCGCCCAGGGAGAAACATCATCACCGACCCAAACCCCCCAATACTCCCCGTATGCCACACAACCTTCTCCCCCCGGTAGTAATCCACCCGCCACCCAAGCGCATACAGATGCGGCCCCGGGAACGGATTCGTCGCCCCGGTCATCGTCACTACCCGCGGCTCCACAAGTGCTGCATGTCCGTCTCTGCTCAATGGCCTGCTCTGATCCATCATGCATCGTACCCACTTCGCATAATCCTCTACGTTGCTGATCATGCAACCGGCCCCCGATAACTCCGTATACTCGGGGTAGTCTATCTCGACAAATCCAGAAGAAGAAGAAGAAGAAGAAGAAGAAGGAAAAGAGGCATCCCAGACATACGCCCCAGCCAACTCATCCGGCCTACTATCCACCGCATCACGGAGCGTCCAATACGTAGCGTCCATGTGTTGTAGTGGACCCCAGATTCTTTCTCGGAGGAAGGCCCCCAAGTCACGCCCGGTGAGGGTTTCAATCGCGTGCGAAACAGCCGTGTACATGAAACTGTTGTACATGTATGTCGTCCGGATCGCGGCTGTCATGGGTAGATGGCGGAGTCTTCTTACCTCGTCTTTAGGGGTGGATGAGTTGTCGGGCCGGAAATGGTATGAGTGTTCTGGGAGGCCTGTTCGGTGGGAGAGGGCGTCTTCCAGGGTGATGTGTTCGGTGGCGTAAGCGTCTGGGAGGACGAAATCGGAGCGGATTATGGTTGAAAGAGGTGTTGTCCAGGTTAGGGGTTGAGACTCGTCGTCGATGAGGAGGGATAGGGCTGCTGCTGTGAAGGATTTGGTGGTACTGGCTGTGTAGTAGAGGGTTTGCGGGGTGGCGGGCGTGTTGGGGTATTTGGATATGCCGTAGCCCTGATGGTTTTTTATTTTAATTAATTAGTTGATTTGGTTGATTGCCTTGGTTAGGTGGGTTGGTGTATATAGCGGTTAAAAGTTCATATATATATACCTTGGTGAATGTATCCGGACCATCGATGATGGCGATTGATGTGCCCGGAACGTGCCATTTGGCTAGGAGGGTGTGGACGAGATCGTCGAATTCGGGGGTAAAGGGAGATGTTCCGCGTTGCATGCTTGTTGTGTCAATTGGCATTTCAGAGAAGAGAGGTTGATCTAGTGTTCGAGGGTATGTACATTCCTTATATATTATGATGTTTTCTAACCTTCTGAGGAATAAGCACTAGTTATATTAAAAGCAAAGGAAGGATTCTCGTAATTGTTCCATGTTTGATTCCAGACCCTCCGCTAAGCATTAGTGCTTTTACTTAGTACCATGGCTAAGCCTCACTTAAGACCTGCTAGTGAGGTCTTGACGGGAGGTGCTTAAGCTTGGTTTTAACTTAATAAGAAGTAAATATTATTATTAGAGGTAAACTGTTAATTAGTTCAGCTGCTTAAGATCCATGGCCCGGACTTGTCGTGCCATGGACGTACGATACGGATCTTGATCTTGCATGTAACGGTAATCTTAATAATCATTTCTTCGTCGATGGTGATCGTCTGAACATCGTCCATGTCTGTGGTCTCGAAGAGCAGCAATGCATTATTCAAAACAGTTCGACCAGACTCCTCGGGTATATATATATACAAATACACGCAGGATATGTAGTAAATCAGTCCTTAAAAACGCCAGTAATCGTAACATAGTAGCAAATCAAACCATTGTCGGTCAAGGTTATGCGATACCTTGTGCCTCCATCCCTGACATCGTAGAATATGAGTATGGCAAGTCGACCAAACCATCCAGCAGCCAATTTAATGGGTCAAAAACTTCGTAGTTGGGCTCCATAAGCCCGCTTGGTAGTCCCGGGACGCTGCTACCAGACTGAACACCCAAAGTGGCTTGCGGAAGAATGGGAGCAGGTGCCAGGCTAGGATCTCCTCCAATACCAGGAGTGGAGCTAGAGGTATGTGCTGCTCCAACGGATGATGCTGCAGAAGATTCAGCGTTAGAATCTGGGTTGGTCGGGTTCTTAAGATAGGCTGCATTTCTGATTAGTCCCTAGCAACACAATGCGTCTTCGCTTGGATAAACAAACCTTCGAGATTCCGACCTTTCGTCCGCGCGTCTTCTCGCCAACGCCATACCGAGTCAAAAAGAAGCGACATACTCATGCGACACCGGACTTTCAGCATCAAGGAATCGTCCATTTCCGAGCTTTCAGTGGTCGGTTTGGGGCTTGGTGTACTCTGCAACCTCCACATCTGGGCTAGAACTTCGGCCAGCCGCTCCGGGAGGTCATTACTTGACACTGATACTCCCCGGATAGCCCAAATGGTCCGGTTGAAAAGAGTCTTGGTATAATCCATATTTATGTGAGAGGCAAAAAAGCTCGTGCCCAGCTTCAGCAGCGTACAGCCTGCTGCTACCATCATCTGATAGATGTAATACGGCGTGTAGGAGAGTACCGGACCCACCTCCGTCTCTAGGTTCATAGCAGCCTCCAGAAATGTTCTGGTTGCAACATACAAAGAAAGAAGACGGTCACGGTAGTCTTTCTCAGTAGTGTCGTCGAAAAAGACCGACAGATGTAAGTGCAGGTTGGCAGCGCGAAGATAAAGATCGGTAATGCCTGGGCAGATTAGTATGTTTCGCAATCATGTCTCCATGGATAAGGCTCACAATCATTCTGAGCCTTCAGCTGCGACTCGAGTTCATCGAAATCCCGAGTAAAAAAGGAGATCATCGTCGATCGTTCCTGGTCATTACAGAGCCCAACAGGGTCTCGGTGGTTGGTATAGAGTGCTCTGGTGACCTTGTCACAGAATTTTTCGATCTGAAGGCGCGCACGGATACCTTCAGGTAACTTGTAGTTTGGATCCAGTGACTCGCTCGACAGTGTCCAGTCATACCAAGTGGACGGTGGCTGCCCGTACCCGGTCGCAACCCTAGATAACGCCTGTCAGGATAAAGATGATCCCAGAGGTTTAGAACAATGAGTGAAGACATACCGTTGTGCAACAACATTGCAGATCGCCCACGTCCTCACTTTATCTTTCAGCTCTTCTTCGATAAGCTCCACCCTGAATTTACTGAAATCTTGAGCATATGACGGGCGGTGTAGACCGAGCTGCATGGCCACCTGCATCATCATCCCACAGAGCATAAAGGTGGGATCGGTAGAGGTACTGCTGGTGGGGAATGGCCATGTACAAAGCAAGCAAAGAGCTTTCACAACATGATAGCTTTGTGGAATGTCTGCCAACGTACTCCATACTAAACGCGAAACGGGGCCTGCCAGAGAGTTCAGAAGGTGCGTATCGGGCTGATAACGCCGTGCCCCAACGCTGATGATAGTCCAGAACAGTAAGGGTGATGCATTATAATATTCATCGGGTGATTGTCCTCGTTCAAGGAATGGAAGAAAAGGATGATAGAACGTAAAGTACCTAGCAGCTTTAGGAAATGTACCCAAGGCACCATATCTAGACCGAGACTTACAGATCAAACAATTCTGTCACTCTCTCCGGCACGACAACAACATCTTCTATCCGCTTGAAGTGGTGGCTCCCATTTCTCATATAGTTGGAACTATCGAAGCCCGAACGTAGGTCCAGAAGCGATGCGACTGCTTCGTGAGAGCCCATATACTGATCGGAAGACATGCCAGAGGGCGTGTGATAAACGCCAGCCGGACTGACATGGCTAGAGGGTTCCTGTTTGGGAGTGTGTTGGGCCGATTGTATGGACGGTGGTTGTTGTTGTTGGGGCATAGACGTGACAGCATTCGCCTGGACGTTGGCAATCTGCTTCCTCAGCTCGATGATCTCTCTTTCCATTTCCGCATTGCGACTGCGCTTCCCAATTCTCTTGAAGTTGGATTCGATTTTACAGTCAAGTTTCAAGCGACGACAACGGGAGCAGTCCATCCATGGGTCTTGAACTACATCGCAGCGCAACTGCCGTAACGAAGTATAGGATTAGTCTAGCCCGTGAGGGCAACAAGTGTAGTCTTGGGTGGTTCAGGTGCTCACCTTCTGCTGACGACATTCATTGCAGGCACGCTTCACAGGCTGCCTTTTCTTCTCCTCACGAAGCTCGTTCTCTTCCACGTCATCCACGCTGCCAGGAGAACTGTCTAACCCCGCCATGGCGACAGTGCGCTTCCTGGCTGGTCCCACGCCATCGGGCCCGCCAGTAGCCGAAGCAGATGGATGGCTGACACCTCCCATTACGGGACTGGTGGCAGCAGGAGCATTATTCCCTGCACTTGGCTCCAGAATTCCCCCCTGCAGGCTCCCGCCTCCGATTCCGCTGGGCAGTGCTCCGAGTGACGCCAGGCTGGTTGCGGGTGAGTCGACCGATAAAGCTCGGACGGCAGAAAAAAAAAAGTTTGGCGTGGCTAATCACCACGCAATTTTCCACACAAACCCAAGAGCGGGGGGGGGAGGAAGCAAAATAATAATAGAACAATAAGCTAATGAATACAGGGTATAGATGTCACACCAAATAATATGGACTATTTTCAAACTACCGTCTTTTCCAACTCGGTCGACTGGATGATCAGATCCCCTCAGCGATGGATGAGTAACAACAGTGGGTGGGGGGGAGGCGGATTGAGAAGCTGTCCGATCTCGCTCTCACGTGGTTCCCCCGTCGCACGTGATGATAACGGGAAGGCTTAATGAGATGGAGATAATAATAGCAGGACCCTTTCTCTTAGTACTACGCTCTTAAGATCCATTCTCTCTCTCTCTCTCTCTTTCTCTCTCTATAGTTCGAAGTATTACTTGACTATGCCCTTGTGTTTTCCTGTCTAGTACCTGTCATGGTCTAAGTGACTTGGCAAATGCACTTCATGTGAAAGAGCATACGAGCCGCATTTCTCCGCCTCGTTGCATTGTAGATCTCCCATTCCGCATCTCTTGGAATCTTATCACACATTTCGATGTCCGCTGGAACAAAGGGATCGAAAGTTAGCCGACATTAGGAACCGCTTCGTATCGTCAAATGCTACCGAGTTTGCTAGGGATCACCCCACCTAAAATTAACTACACATCGTATTCCCGAGGCTGTGTCGCTCATTGCCCCATGATAGGCATTGAGCCTTGCACTGCCGCTAGGACGCATCCCAATGATCGTCCTCCAACCTGGTGATGGACAGAAAAGCTTGTTGGTTGTTGCTGCAATGCGACGCTAGTGGGTTGCCCGACTTTCTAGAAACAATGCCTCTCCACAAATGCAGATGTGTTGTTCACAACCCTCCACAATGATATTCTTCGTCTTTGATTCGCTCATCCATGGATCATCGCCCCCCCATTGTACTGTTTGCCCGGCGACGCATCACCAAACCATCCTCTGACATCACAGGGACTTAAATCTACGTATAATCATTACATATAAACCAGCATAATTCCTCCCATGCTGATCGAATACCGATATATCTCATGCATATGAACCTTCAGTCGTTTTAACAAGATGAAATCGTCTCCTTTCGAAAAGATCACGGAAGACGTCGCGGAGGTTGAACCTCCCGCGTACGGTCAGATTGACGAGCCTCCCCTAGTAATACCACCGTTGGACTTGTTCCAAACGGCTGGACCACCTGTTTGTTCGACGGTCACCCAAGACCAATGTATTGCTCATCTCAAGTTCTTAGCAGCACTCGCCGATCTACGCGACAACATCACTAGTATCAACCGTTTATTTAACATCAATGATCCTGACCCAGCTGTTTTTGGAGATAGCATAGACGAGGCATGTGCTCGTGTCAAAGAAAAGCGATGGGCTGTGTACACAGCCAGGGCGGTCGACCGCTACACGACTTGGTGGCAGAAGTGCATCCAATTCCCTGAACGATGCCCTAAGCTCCATGACCTAGAGGACGACAGTTATGACTCGATTACCGAGAACGACAAGCCGTACAACTGGTCTTCGAAGACAATGCCCCCTCTAGGTGAGCCAAGCTTTGAACCGGCCTTTATCAACTACCACAAGCTGCTGACAGATTTCTCTATCAGATATTCTAATGGTGTGGCACGCACATATGCTGAACCCTAGGGTCTTTCTTGAAGATTGCATTCGGGGGGGTGCCATGGGATTTTGGGCGGCTGGTTTCCCTTGGGAAGTCATCAACTCCTGTCTCGACGATCAAACCATGGAATACCGTGCTGGACAGGCAGCGGTAGCCCGCTTTCAGCAGAAAACTGGTCTGCCCTGGGACAATCTGAAATGTTCATCGAAGAAGCTCCTCACTTGTCCTAGCTGTAAGCACGAGCTGTCCGTGCCCTGGACCGAAGCGCAGATATCCGTCCCACTCGATGAAGCATTTGACTCCTGCCGTGGCTTCGCAGATCAAAATTTCCAAAAGACATGTCCAGTCTGTAACTTTCAAATCACACACGAGGAACTAAAGATCGAGAAGTTTCGGAAAGACGTTAGGGCGTTTTGGGCTTCGGATGTGCCGATGCCTGGAACGTTCTATGATGTTAGGGGTGTGCCCAAAGCCGTCACGGTCTCGAGTCGAAAGAAAAGGCAGTCCATATTCCCTAATCGTTTAATCAAGGCGATAGGCACCATCATTCTTTCTCAGACCGACCCAACGGACAATAGCTGCAGGACAATGGTGGCATTGCGCGACAATCTACAGTCCAAGATCAAGAGCCGGGAAACCATGCGAAGGGTCAACCCAGATTCAGGCATCTCCTCATTATATCCAGAAGAGAAGGTGGCATTCCGTCGGATGATGGCTCGCTACTGGGATAATCATACTCTGTTCGCTCTAGACCTGGTTGGTGCTGTCATTCGACAAGGGACTTTTGTTCAAAAAATGGACAACATTGATTGGCTCCACTCGCCTACAGTGAAGGCAACCATGGACCGTTTGATCAGGAAATATGAAGTCTTCTTCCAAATCATATCCCAAAACCCACGCAACATGGCTGTCCCAACTCTGGATGTCGATCTCGCCTGGCATACTCATCAACTGACGCCTTCAAGATATTTTGACTACTCCATCTTTACAACACGGCAACACACCAGGGTTCCGAATTTCATTGATCATGACGACAAAGTCGAAGAAACCAAACTATCGGATGCATTCGAATGGACTAGCAAAATGTACAAGAAACTCACCAAAGGTGATATCTACAGCGAGTGCACTTGCTGGTACTGTGAGGCTATTCGAGCTCCGGATCTCAGCGACGGCATCTTTGTCTCCCAGTCAACCTCCCGAGCTCGCGACGCAGCCGCCAATCTCCACAATCGGCCAGATATATCTTCGGATCCGGACAAGAACCCCCATATCTCCGCGCACAGTGCTGTGCCAGCGGAAACAAAGAAGACACGTGCCGGCTTCGATCCTCGATACGTAAAGTATCTAAAGCTTCAAAGCAATTACCAAAGGGCACGCCGTCGTGCAGAGAAGCGAGATCGCAAACAAGGCAACAAGGAACGGGACCGTACTTCAGATGCCAGCCTTTATGCCATGGCATATGGTTATCCGGTATATGTGCCATACTATGCCCCGTACATGGCTGACCCCTGCGTGCACTCCAATGCATATGCTTCGAATCCAGGCTGCATGAGCTTCGTCGCCGGGGCCCCTGGAAACTGTGCTGCAGGGACCTGTGGAGGCGCTGTTGCGGCAGGCGGCTGCGGTGGAATGGGAGGGGGATGCGCTGGTGGATGTGCTGGTGGGGGGGGCGGAGGAGCGGGTGGATGTGGATCAGGAGGTGGTAGCGCAGGTTGCGGTGGGAGTAGCAGTGGAGGAGGCGGGGGCGGGGGCTGTGGAGGAGGCGGTGGTGGTGGAGGCTGTGGCGGAGGTGGTTGCTGAAGAGGTTATAAGCCTGTACACTTGCTTCAAATTATGGTTATGTAACTCCAGCGTGTTTGGAAATCGTTGCTTGTGAATTTTATATACTCGATACCCTGAATTAATACGATTTTCAACAATGACTACTGGAGAAAGAGGTTCTTATTTTCATAACTAACCAAGCCCAAGTATAACATCCGAATCAGGCGACCAAGATGCTCTACTTCGATGGTTCCTTCCAGTGGATACTAATGGTAGAGGATAGCACCTGTCCTATATGTCCAAAGAACATATATAATTCCGTTGCTCACCTGCAGATCAGCAGTGTGCACTTTTTGGTGATTACCATGGTATGTTTCAACTTATAATATATCTCCAAAACAACACGCCAAGTCCATCTTTGCTTTCGTGCAGTACAATCTAAAACCCAGACTTTTCTTGCATGTACGGATGATAAGAAATTCTCCGATACATCGATGAACTTTACTTGAGGCCCGATTAAAGGGAAAGTACGGAGTACGGGCCGCCAAATCCAATCGGGGCGGCGCTAAACCTGACTCGGGAACAAGACGCAGATACTAATGTACAGAGACCAATTCTCAGGACAAATTTCAAAATATGATGAGATCACCAGGAAATTGGTACATAATAAGCAATAGAATAACATGCATCATCAATGCTATGTACATCTGTAACACTATTTCACCCATTCACGCATATATGGCCAATAACACCGTCCGGCAATGGTTGCCAAGATCCATCGTAGATTGCAACTACTGCTGCATTCGGAAAACAACTGGAACTGCAACCTTAGGGAAGAGTATGCCATTCCACGGTTACGAGGTCGCAGGGTTGTATTGAGGAGGTTATATACGTAACCATTAGGTTATACTGGTTGTTTTGGTCTGGTCTGATCCCCTGGTCCCTTGGATATATAAAGCTTCGGGTACCTGAGTTGAAAGGCTCTTCCACATTCTTGTTTATCTATATACATACATACATATCTTCCGTTCTCCTTTTGTCTCGAGTATATATATATATATATATATATCACTCCAATCGGTATGGGACTCACCTAGCCATACATCGAGTTCTAATGATAATAAACTGACAGAACCGCATTTACTACCAGAAAAGCACAATGGACATGGATAAGCTCAAGAAGGGTTTCAATGACACCGCAGAATCCGCCAAGGACCAAATCAATAAAGGTATGTACAATTCTAGAAACACCTTCTAGGCGTATATAGGAAATTTAGCTAACGGATCTACAGTCTACGGTAAGTAACAGTTTTGAAACTTAAGCTCTGATTCTGCGCTATTCCACTATATGATGCTCATTCTTGAGCAGAGAAGCCAGGCGAGACTGCGAACAACGCCTTGAACAAGGGCAAAGAACAGGCTGCCTCTGCTGCCGACAGCGCTAAGGCGACCTTGGACAAGGCTCTGGGCAAAGGAGAGAACAACAACGCCTGAAAGTGTCGACATTAATCAGGCGTTACGTTTGGACGTCCCATCCTACTATTTGTGCATAGAGACCCACTACGGTAGTAATGGTCAGACGAACAAGATAAGTTGTCCGAAGTAATTCAACGTTTCCTTGTAAACATATTTAGTCTCGTGTGCTGCGCAGCAGCCATATACGACTGATCAGCCGCTGTACGTCTTGATTCAGTTCAACTGGGTATATCTAAATGAAGTAGTACGAAGAAGAGACAAACAAGGGAAAGAGAAAGAAACACCGAGACCAATTGCTGTGAGTAAGCCATTCAATGGCAACGCCAGCTACATCACTATGCATTTATTTCTTTTTCTATTTCTTTCGTAAATGGTGCGTTCGTTCCACTCCTCTATACGCCTCCTCCAGAGGTCGTTGGACGGTTGGGAGCTCGTGGAGAGCGTAGGGTCGGTGGATGCCCGGCGATTAAGAGGTGGTATAGCTGGCGACGCCTGATGAAGGTCCTGCGATTGTGCGCGCCGGCTTATCGACCTATGGTACCCGGTACGTAGCCATGAATCGCGCGGGATCTCGGGAGAGGCGTACTGGGGATCTGTAAATTGTAGGTTGGGTGATGAGAGGGAATAGGGATGATTGAGGTTAGGCAGCATATTTGGGATTTCAGGTACAGCGTCTTGCCATTCTAGAAGTTCTGCTGGGTTCACCACGGACTCAGTTTGAGTCTCTTGGAGCGATGTTTGCAGCACGGGCGCTGGCAATGCAGTCGCCATCGCAGCTGCAGCGTAATCGAGATTCGTTGCGTCAAGAGTCCCTGCAGTATTCTGATCAATCTCTTGAGAAGTGGCCGTGGTCTGCGGTTGTAGATGCAGGGGCACCGACGGCACGCTAGGCACCTCCCCATTCTGAGAGTACGGGTGGCTCGAGGCTGCGTTTCGAACCAAGTTGCTTTGTGTCCGGCTAAGGCCAGGAGCCTCTGAAGCTCTGGTTGTTCTCCGCACCAAAGAGGCTAATCTAGATCCACTGATGGTATTCAATCTTTGTAGAGGGGTCCGAGGCAAAGACTCCTCGGCCATATCCTCTAGGCGAGTGGTATGCGACCTTTGAAGTTGATCCGGTGCATCGCTGACTCTGTGTGCAGGTTCGGTTCTCGTGGGAAGAAGGGTTCTTCTAAGATACTCTGGAAGCGGTGCATCGGGTTCACGAGTATAGGGAGGCGGAGGGGGAACCCAGTTATCGGCGTCACTTTCATGAGGGACCTGGAAGATCGGAGGAACCGGTCTCGTATCAAAAGCACGCCGTGGCTCGTCACGATACCGTGGGTTATAACGTGTGCGACTGGTAGCTGCTGCGGTGGCAGCGCGACGCAGTGTATCTTGGGAACGCGGCTGTGTGTTGTCGTAGGGAGTGTCTGGAACCGGAGGTGTATCACCATCACCCATATCAGTTGAGGAAACAGAGAAATAAGAACTATTCCGACGAATGACCAGCGGTGGTGATTGGCTCATCGAAATCGCTGCTGGGTACGATTCACGAGCGAGAGTTCTGGCCCGGTAGGAAGAATTGCCACGATGCAAGCGGGTTCTTCTTCTTTCCAGCTCAACCTCTGTATCCAAGCTAGTATTTGGTTCGTGAAGCATCTTCGGCTCCGTTTCGCCAATCTCGATACTAATTTCAGTGTAACTACCATCTTTTGGTGATCTCCCGAAATCTAAAAGCAGTACTCGTCCACCATCTACCGGAACATCTTCTTCACCAATTGTCGGAGGGCTAATGCCGCCGGGTGCCACAGCCACCAACCTACGGTGGTCAGTCGGAGCGTCGGCATGTCGTACCCAGGAAGCTGCCGTAATCCCAGGCATATCACTCATCTTATGACCCCTGATAAGCATCTTCGGCTTAGTGATAGAGTGCTGCAATCGTTGTGCACTATCTGGTAGGTGCATAGTCTCCTCCACTGGGTGACTTGGTCTACTATTCGAAGCACAAAGTGCGGCTGCAAAGGTACTTGATGGTGCAATATCAAGGCGGTCCGGTATACCATATACCCAGAGTCCGGAATCTTGGAAACCTAGGGCGACAAGCTCTCCAGTACAATCAACCGCGGGCAGCATGATTGGAGGAAACTCCTGTAATCCATTCCCAGACGTTGGACTCACAAAATATACTGTACCAGAATTCACATTGTTGACCCCAATCGCCCTGAATGCCGCGGCCTCTTTATCAAAGCCCAAGATCCAACTGCCGTCACCTTCGGCATGTAGTGGAAGATGGCATGCGTGACTGTAGCTTTGTATAATCTCAGGAAATAGAATCTGGGTGGTCCACATGCGTGTATGGGCCTCTCTTGCAGAGATATCGGTAACAGGCTCTGTGTAGAACGGTACTGTGATAGTGACCAGACTGGTATTCTGGCTATCGCCAGACGAACCGAGTAGCATGACTCCGTCTGATGAAAATGCAATCGAATCCACGCCAGTACAGCGTACGGCTCTTCGTTCGGTCGCAAGTGTTCCTTCTCCAATGGCGTATACTTCGATCCTATCGGTATACGCGATAGCAAGAACACCACCTGTTGGAGACAAGGCTAGAGCCTGTGGGACATCATTCAACTTGATATTCTGAACGTGCTTTGCTTCTTCGTTAGACAAGCTATATATGTTGACTTGATGACTAGACGATACCACAGCAAGAAGCGAGCCATCATCCAGGATGGTAGCGTTCAGCGGACGTCTCCAGGTTTTGAGTTCATGTCTCACTACAGCTGATCCAGATGCCACATCGAGAACAACGATCCTCGACGAGCTTATACAGAGTACCAATTGAGCACTGGGCGAAAAAGCAAAACGAAAAGCCTCTCCATGTGGGAAAGCTGTCGATGAACTCATCGACGTTGAAATAAGCTTCACCAAGGTTTGGCGGGGTCTAAGGAAGACCTCGAAGGCATTGCGTCTTATCTCAGCCCCAAACTTCAGCTTGAGGATAGCAAGGTCATCCGAAGTGACTACATCTGAAGTAGCTTTTGCTGTCAAGGAGAAGGATGGACAGCGAGATAAATGATGAGCGTATAATATAGGCGAATCTGAGATCCGCCTCCATTTTCGGTTTAAGAAAGCTAGAGACGCGAAAGTGTTTGCGTCGACGACATAAAGGATGCTGCATAGCCGGTCAAAACAGCTCTTATCTTAAGAGGACAGGCTGTACAAGAGATGTCTTTGCTGGCGGGCGCAAAGTCGCCCTACTAGCTGTTGGGGCCAAGAGGAAAGTTATAACTTACTGCTCAATTACCGTGCGAGGTAAACTGTTGAAAAGAGATGAGATCAGCTCACCTGACCGCGATTGGCTCTTCCCAAGCGAGCCGTTCTGTTGTTGGCTGGGGCCTGCACTCGGTAGCTGCTCAGGGTCGTTATGAGGACCATCGAGCCGCTCAGCACTGGGCAGCCGAACATCCTCCTCCATGGTCATCGGTTCATAAAAGTCTACATTTGCTGGAAAGAATATATAACCGGATTCAATTGCACATCGCCACGAGTTTTCTAGGCAGTAAAGGGGCAAGTTTTGGAGAATCAACCGGAGCGCTTGTGGAAGGACGGAGGCGCCAACTTAGCGGCCCGGTGGCTGTGTCTCCTCTTCA